CAGAGATGAATAGTGATTCATAACCGGGTTAATAAACATGAAATAGAATCATAGTTATTAAGTCAATTTGGGTTTCGACAAAATCATACCCAAGACTTAATCGGGAAATTAGATGTCGAAAGGATTTTACATGTATGGAGTTGTAATCGGAATAGGTTTACTCGCTATTCACTTAATACTAGATTCATGCTACTTGCTAGGTGTTACCATGATATGTGGGTTCATAAATTAAAGGGTTAATTCATGAATAAGAGTTAATAAGATTTAACTCAAATTACAAAGTGTTGTAAACCCACTACTAGTATTAAGGTGAACCTAAAAGGTCACACTAATTATGAACAAAGGTAAAGATTGTATTTCTAATGGTTAGAATTAATTGATAAATATCTAATTTGATTAGATATCAATTAAAGGAATATATTAATCAATAAGATTGATTAATTACATTTTGGATATTACTTTAGTAATTAAGGTAATTACTAAATTAATAAAGTTGAATTTTAAAATAGGATTTTAAATTTCAAAAATCCAAAATAATAATAATATGATTATTATAATATTGGGAAAATGATATAATAATAAAGTCTTGAGAAAGATTCTCAAGATTTATTATCCAATTATTATTTATATCTTTAAATATGATTTAAGGATTAAAATAATAAATATGATTATAATAAAATGGTTGTTGATGGTTGTTTGAACTACTTAACATATCTTATTATTTTCAAAGTCAAAAGTTAGTAAATACTATTTAAATAAAATTTGATTTTATTTAATATTACTAAATGTTGATTATTTTATGCTAAAATGTTTAGTATAAATATATGCAAAATGGTTTTGCATTTAAGTGAAGTTTTTGATCCTAAATTTCTAAGTGTTAGAAAGAGAAGAAAGTGTTCTTCATAAAACTTCAAGAAAGAGTTCTTAAAATTCCCAAATAAAATTCATAAATATTCCTATACAAGAAAACCGAGTCTTTTCTACTAGCGAAGGAAAGTCGTCGGAACCGGGCTTCATAGGGTGGATACGTTTAGAGGGAAGACACTTGGATTCCTCTAGCGAGTAACCTCAAGTCGTTGAAGTTACAACCGGGAACCGATTCCCTCATCCATCATCAATAGTGAAGGAGTTCAAGATATTCGGTAAATATTTTTACTAGTATTTACTTTATAGTAACAAATCAAAATTTGTATATGATGCATGTTTTAAAAATGACGATCAGTTAATTCGCAATTAGTATGTACGGGTGTTGTATTTATACGATAAATACTTACTTTAAAAATTTTAAATTCCGCTGCGTACAGCCGTACGGTACTAGCAAACCCAACATCAAGACCTCCAAAGCCACCATAGGATATATGTTGATAGTTGGATTCGGGCTTCAGAGGTCTCTGTTTTGGTTATAGCATACACCTGCCACCACCAACCTTTAAAGCTTGTATTCTGTAGGTGTCTTGAAGGAGATGTAAAAAATTCTTTTCCGTATTTTGAGCCGCGAGCGATTTCCAGTGACAGCGGGACTTACCAGGAACAACTTGAACCGATGATGAAAACAGGAAATCGTGGACTCGTGAAGGCGAAGCAGTCGTGCTTCCTTTCTTAAATTCTTGTCTTCTTGTATACTCTTGCAAACCTTTATCCCATTCACATGGCAAACAATTTTGAAGTGTGCTTGAGGCTTCTTTTTGTTATCCAATTTTCGTATTTTGAGGATTTCGCTTGATTTTCCCCTACTTTTGATTCGTTGTGTAAACTATTTTAAGCTTCCCATCTTTAAAATTCGCTTCTTTTGAAGTTTAGCTAATTCTGGTTTATCTTATGTTGGGAATTGACTTTGTTTTGAAAAACCTGATTTCAAGTGAGATTAAGCATCTCTATATTTCTGCTTATCTTTATTCGCTTGCGAATATGAGAGTTTCGTTCGAGTGACATCGCTAAAATATCACGAAGACTCGAGGGAAAAAAAATTTTATCACCACATTTGTGAATAACCTAACCTCGAGGGGGACAATAATTATTCACGCTCGGCATCGAGACAAACGCACAGGAGCTGAAGCCAGCACAATTCGGTTCGATTAGAAGATGGAGTGTTTTTTCACCATAAAATATTATGCAGGAATCTTCTAAGGAGGATAGTCGAGTCTGGAGCAAGCACATCGTGTAGTGCAGAACTGTCCTTATTCTAGATTTTGTTCATCGAAGAAATTTTTGTTCTTTTACTCCTTTCGGAATCCGGGGAGGAACTTCGCGTTCAAATTCCAAAGTGTGAAGATTGGGTAGTGAGTTGCGCTCGATCAGGACTACTGCCACGGTTAGCTACTTGGGTAAGAGCTGACGTGACAGCCGACACTGTTAGTCAGAAGAGTCGAGGCGAGCTAGTTGTTGTAGTTCTGGGCAGGAGCTATTGATTGGGATTACTCCCGATGGGAAAACCGTATTCAAATTCTTTTGAGGATTCTCGTCTATCGCAAGCGTGTGATCCTTTCGTGTGTTATAAGGTGTTTTGGGTCAAATAGTGGACTTGGAACCTTGAATCGAACGCCGGTCCTGGCTGGGTGTAGCCACACGAAGTGGTGGCCGAGCACGCACGACCGTGCTGAGAGACGTGAGGCTTGTGCATGGCCGACCATTGACTCGCATGCGAACTGCAGCTGCCATCACCATATGCACGAACTCCCCAAGCCAGCATATACTGCCAACCACCAATGCTTTTCTTGAACTGTTCGAAATGTTTCATACTGGACCCTTTGGTTAGCCTATTCAAACCTTTTTCTTGCAAGCCTTGAACCGAGAACTCCAAGAACCACTAAATTTTGTATAAATCCGTAATCGATGATTTCTAATTAAGGAGTGTAGTCGATGAGTCCCTATGCTTTACTTGAGAGTTTCTCGAGTCGGCAAGTTGGGATTGTCGTGTTGCTTTTGGTCAAGCCTTATGTTTGCGCATAAGGGTTGCATTCGATTCGTGGAGTCGATATCATGAGGGTATATGAGCATGATGGTGTCGTGTGGTATGTAGGTGGTACCGTGTTATGGTCTCGGATGGAGACGCACGGTCTGTGATGAAATCGTGAGCAAGTTATCAGTGTGACTCGGATATGAGACTGAAACTTGGCGTCACATGTCCACCTTGATGGTGAGGAAGTCGGAGTACGCTGACAATACACCGAACGACCTGCCGAGGTCTTGTGTGCTGTTAGGTACAAAGCAAGTCGTTGATACTCATGAGTATAGGCTAAACTGAACTGGGTCCCTTGCAAGAGGATGTACGCCTGAACTCGGGCAGGACTGATCACCCTCCCAAGCAAGAAGGTAAATATATGAGCATAGGGCGAGTCGGATTGGTTACTGTATGTGAGTACTTGCCTTTCAAGTATAAGGCGATAGGACTCATGGGAACGGAATCGAGTTCCGGAGAGTGATGCCTGGACCTCGTGATTGGAAATTCATGTTTGAGTCTGCCGTTATCTTTAGATGCGTGTTCTTTCGCATTTTCGAGGACGGAAATATTTTAAGGAGGATAGATTGTAGCGTCCCGTTCGATTTATAGAATTTCTCGGAATATTCTATGTATCAAATATTATTTATAAGGTTATATTTATTTTATTGGTCGCGATGTCGACTTAAATAAAATGTTGGAATACTCGATTGTTTTATTGAAAAACATTCGTCGTTCGATGATTTCGGTTTAATCGTGAACCGATTATAATCCGTTTGAATAATGGGTTTTTCGTATATTTCAGCATCATTAATATTGTTATTTTATTTATTTTTTTTTCGAGAGTGGTACATGTTCGGATTTTATGAAATTGAGCCTGATAAACCGGTAGTCGGATCCGCCGATTCGTAAACACGTGTTTTTATGGATTATTTGGGATTTATTTATCATTAGTGTTATTATTATTATTATTATTATTATTATTATTATTATTAAATGCCTCAATAATATTTATTTGTCAAATTGTAATTAAATGTCTAAGTGTATTATTATTATTATTACTATTTAATTAAATTGTACGTATTATAAATATATAAATAATATCTGGTTTATAATTTAAAATTTTCGAGCCGAACCAATTTAATGAAATATGGCGGAGCCGAGCCCGAGAGCCAGTATGAACTGGCCCAAGCGCCGAACCAGCCCAAACCCGGCGCCACAAACCCGTGAGCCCGACCCGAACCGCCCTTGCGTGTGTGTGAGTGTGTTTTCTTGTGAGAAGAGTATTAAACCCTAGTCTTTATATTTGTTCCTCTCTCTCTCTCTCTCTCTCTCTCTCTCTCTCTCTCTCTCTCTCTCTCTCTCTCTCTCTCTCTCTCTCTCTCTCTCTCTCTCTCTCTCTCTCTCTCTCTCTCTCTCTCTCTCTCTCTCTCTCTCTCTCTCTCTCTCTCTCTCTCTCTCTCTCTCTCTCTCTCTCTCTCTCTCTCTCTCTCTCTCTCTCTCTCTCTCTCTCTCTCTCTCTCTCTCTCTCTCTCTCTCTCTCTCTCTCTCTCTCTCTCTCTCTCTCTCTCTCTCTCTCTCTCTCTCTCTCTCTCTCTCTCTCTCTCTCTCTCTCTCTCTCTCTCTCTCTCTCTCTCTCTCTCTCTCTCTCTCTCTCTCTCTCTCTCTCTCTCTCTCTCTCTCTCTCTCTCTCTCTCTCTCTCTCTCTCTCTCTCTCTCTCTCTCTCTCTCTCTCTCTCTCTCTCTCTCTCTCTCTCTCTCTCTCTCTCTCTCTCTCTCTCTCTCTCTCTCTCTCTCTCTCTCTCTCTCTCTCTCTCTCTCTCTCTCTCTCTCTCGTGAAATAATCACGCCCGCAGCCTCCAATCTTTTCTTCCCTCGCGATCTAAAACACGCTGCAAGAAAAACCCTCTGCCCCCAAATCTATCATCAATCTTAATCGAAAGGAACAAAGAGGAAATCTCTCCCTCTCATCTGAGCAAATCCGGCGAGCTTCATCCTTCGCGCGCAGGGCACCCGGCGAACAACCAGCGGCCATTCCCAGTCACGCCTGAACCCTGGTCCGTCACTCCTCCCGCCGGCGTTGTCCTTGCCGTCGCTGCACCACCGCTGCAACCGCCGGCAACACCCGCAACCAACTGCTGGCAGACGCAACTCGCCACAGCCACTCGCGAAGCTCTCGCCACAACAATTCCGCCTCTGTCGCGCACTCAGGCCGTCCGTGAACCACTCCCAGCGGGGATTCCCGACGAACCTCCTTCGTGAGCCCTCCTCCGCTCACCTGCTCCTTCCGGCGAGCAGTAGGTTCCGTCGGATCATCCTCCGCGCCTGAGGTCTAGTCGCCCTTCGTGGGTAATTTCGCAGCGGCCCTCTCTTGTCCTATCGCGAGCCAGTATCTCAGACCGAATCGCTGCGAGGTTTCATCGCCATAGACGTGTCGCACGTGAGCCTCTCCGGCGAGCAGATCGCAGTAGAAGATTCTTAGAATCGTGAACCCCTCACGAGCAGCCCCATCCTGAGATCACGCAAGCGAACCGAGAACACCCCAGTCGTGAGCTGTCTCGGTTTGCGTGCAGTACACGAACCACGTCCACTTTGTGCCGGGAGTTTTTCTCGCAAGTAGCAACATGGTCAGCCCGTGAGGTTTCCCTTGCCGACAAGTAGCAGCAGCCCTTTCGGGCCCCGTGCGAGAGCGGAGTGCCGAGAACCCCAACAGCAACCCCGTAGAACCGAGCCCTTCACCTTTGTTCTTTGTTCTCTCGTGTGGTGAACTGTAATAGGTGGCTATCCCTCGTCTTTTAATGTCATTTGATAAAATATATTGTTCTTGGTGATAATATGATGTGTTGAACGTGATTTATGAATATATATATAAGCCTTACAATTTATGTGTTTGTAATTGGTTTAATATATATATTATTTTGTAGACGAGCTCTTCGATTTAGAGAAATCGGATGATACCTCGTCATTCATGTTTAAATTGCTGTGGAATGGAACATTTTATGATCCTTGGTCTTATGGTGAAGACCTCGGACGATTTCGTCGTAAATTGAGTCGGTTATGAATTTACGAACATGTGTAATCGCTGTTTTGATATTAAATTCATGATAAATTTCTCACTGGTCTGATTTCCATGAAATTTTGGGTGTAGTTTCCTCTGTTGATTATGAATCCCGTGTGAAAATTTCATAATTTTAGTTGGTCTGTAGCTATTTTAATAAATTAAAATAATTTCTGGTTAGATTCATGTTAAATGCATAATAAATGTGGTGCTCGAAATTGGCTGAAATTCGAGTATGTTGTGTCTCTAGGATGTTGGCTTGATGTGTACACTTTTCATAATTTTTGGAAGCTGTTAGCTTAGGTAAATAAATTAATTTGTTTTCTACCAAAAATTGTTTTAATTATGATAATTTGATCTGATGCGGAAAAATTCTGATTTGTGGTTCAAGAGCCTGTTTGCTAGTGTTTTTCATGCTGTTAAAAGATTAGAATTTTTAAAGTTCATTTAGGTTCAGTTGTGTGGAAAATTCGAAATCTACTGAATGTTGTATCAATTTTAATAAATCATATGTTAAGTGTTTAAAGCTGAGATTTGTACACACTTACTCACATGCTAAGGTTCCTTGGATAAAAATTTCAGAGTTTGAATCGTTCATTTAGTTTGGTTGTTAATTTATGTTTGTTTTTGTCATAAACTTGCTAGAATTTTATAAAATAGCATACTTTGAGTTTGGGGCTAAAAATTGGTGGTTTTACTAAGTTCTGGCAGGTGAATTTTTTGTTAAAAGTTCAGAGCCAACTCATTTGATAATCTGACCAACTCGTTTTTGTGATTACAAACTAGTATTTTCAAATATATGGTTTTTGTATTAAAAATTGTAAATCAGCTCGCCTTCTGTTCTTTGTGTGTTAGACTTGGTCAATCTTAGATTGAGATTATGTGAACTCCAATGCGTAATTGGTTGAGTCTAAGTGTTCCAACGTCCACAGGACTTCACGAACAACTTAGTCGAATCAAGTTCGGCTAAGTATGATTGTGTTTTCCTTTTTTAGGTCAAGATAGATGTTGATTGTAGCATCTTGACTTAACATAGGTGTTTGAGGAGTCAAGCCTCGACCTACGTCCTTTCTGTTTTTGCTATCATCAATCTGAACTACCAGGTGGGTTGTTATTCTAAAATTTGCTATGTTGTAAATGTTATAAATTTATAATTTGTGGTATGATCAATGTATGCATGTGAACCATGTAGGCTTCGATGTGAGTTGTACCGGCCGTCAAACGGTTATCCCCATAGCTATAGAACGTACCCGATGGGTAGTCTTCTTTATTATTGTATGGCCGTAAGACCGGGGCATGGGCCATCGGCTGGTGATCCCCGTTTGTAAGACCAATTCGTAGGTCTTGTGTAACGTCCCACTTTTATTTGCCGAAAATCAGAATAAATTTTTCAAATTTATTTCAAAACACCTGAGGCGTTGCTCATTTTCAATTCAATAATCAATCAATCTCAATACTCAATCCTCAATCATCATTTCAATTATCAATAATTCAATCATCAATAGTCAATACTGCAATCCAATACCCAAACCGGGTTTCTGAAATTCATAATATCTAGGAAGTACACTCCCTATCAATAATCCAATATTCAATATTCTAAAAATGCAATAATATCAAAAGTAAGTTCAATAAGCGAAAGCAATAATCAAATAAATAGAGTACCACTCGCGTTCCTCCGTCGTGCCCACAACACTAACTTGCATCCATGAAGAGCAGGTGGGGATGAGCACAAGAGGAAACAATAGTGCTCACCACTATGCAGTAAACGTTATTCTAATAACGAAACACTAATCAATAATCAATGAGGTATGGTCGCTGCATGTATACAAAACAATCAATTATCCCAATCTCCCATCAATCATATCAATAATAGACTCATGTGCACACCTACGCATAGACTACTGCTGACTATATATCGAATGCTCTCCGGTCCTACATCGAGTGCCAGCCAGTAGGAGTATCCCCCGTCGGCCGAGCACCGCTCTGGTCTCACAACGGGGAACAGACCGAGCACAGCCCTGGTCTTACAGGCGTAAAGAACCCCACGGTTTCCTTCCATTAATACGGGGCAACCGTTCGACGGCCGGTACAGCTCACATCGAAGGCTACATGATTCGTATGCATTCATTGATCATACCATAAATTATACATTTATAACATTTACAGCATAGCAAATTTTAGAATAACAACCCACCTGGTAATTCGGTAGAGAAGTCACACAAACAGGTCGGTAGGTCAAGGGCTCGACTCCTCAAACACCTACATTATGTCCAGATGCTATAATCAACATCTATTCTGACTTAAACGGAAATCAAAATTATTCTTAGCCGAACTTGATTCGACTAAGTTGTTCGTGAAGTCCTGTGGACATTGGAACACTTAGACTCGACACTAAGACTCAACCAAATACAAATGGGAGTTCACATAATCCAACACCAACATTGACCAAGTCAAACACTTAAAGAAACGGAAAACGAGCCAATTTACAGTTTTTATTGCAAAAGCCATATATTTAAAACTACTAGATTTTATTCACAAAAATAGGTTGGTCAGGTAATCATATGAATTTAACTCTGAAATTTTAACCAAAAGTTCACCACCCAGAGGTAAGCAAAACTACCAATTTTCAGCCTCAAACTCAAAGTGTGCTATTTTATAAAATTCGAGCAATTTTATGGCAAAAATGAGCATAAGAGAGCAACCATATCAAATGACTGAATTAACCTATGAAATTTTTATACCACAGAATACCGCATGAGAGTGACAGCATATAAAAAATTCAGCTCTGGACATTAACTGTACGAATTTTAAATATTCCTTAAAGTTTCATCAGTTATCAAATTTTCATCATAACTAAACCTAAATGAACTCCAACATATTTTCATCTTTTAAAAGCATGAAAGTAAATATAAAACAAGCACTCCAGCCACGTTTTAGAATTTTTCAATAACTAACCAATTTATGATAAATAAAACAACTTTCTGCAGAATCGGAAAATAAATTATTTACCCTATCAAACTCAGCCCAAAAAGTCTAGACATTTTACACTGCAAACAATCATATTAGTGGCATTACATAGTCAAATATCAGCCAATTTCAATCACTACACAATTTATTATGCGATTTACATGAAACTGACTAGAATTTTCTTTAATTTATTAAAATAGCTACAGACCTTGAAAAATTACGAAATTTTAACACAAGTCAGATGTTCAACAGAATACATGACCCTCAAAATTTCAAGGCAAACGAAGCAGTACATAATTTTTAATAATTCAAACACTAAAACAGCAGTTATCAAGTTCAACAAGTTATAAACGACTCGACAAAACTCGAAAGTGTCCGAGGCCTTTCCACAAGGACAAGAACTCATTGTTCCAATTCCCACAGCGACATAACACATGTATACATGATCTCGTTCGAGTTCGCACAAACCGAAGAGATCGATACATAATTAAATTATAACGAGGCCCGACATATTTATATCAATATCAACATACGATTATAGATAACGCTTCATATTAACACATATCATCAAAAGACAAGAGATAGCCACCCTTTACTGTTCACCATATGAGAGAACAAGGAACAAAGGTGAAGGGCTCGGCTCTACGGGGTTGCTTTTGGGGTTCTCGGCATTCTCAGTTCGTATAAACAAAATTTCGGACTCGGGCTCGATACGTTCGGTCTCGTTTTGGCCCCGCTGATCGGGAGGGCTACTACTACTCACTCGCGTCTCGCCGGGAAGGCCCGACCCCGCTGCTAGAACACGAACGGAACCGCCGCTGCTGTTCGGGCCCTAGACGAAGGCCAACGGGAAGCCGCTGCTATGCTCAAAGGTTGTCTGGCTGAGAACGGGGCTTGCTGCTAGCCACGCACGGCTGCGGTATAAAGGAAAAATCGAACAGGGGCAGCCTCTCTGATGGTAATGGCGGCTGCTCGATGACTATCGACGACTTCCCCTCTCCAATGGGCGGTCAGTGGCTCGCGATGGGACAAGAAAGGGCCGCTGCAAAATTTACGATGAAGGGCAACGAGACCTCAGGCGCGGTGGACGATTCGACGGAACCTACTGCTCACCACCAGATGAGTTGTGCCCGACCCAGATGCAGGAGAAGCACAATGCGCGAGGTCCGTCTAGAATGGATTCAGCGCGTGGGCAGCGTAGCCCGCGCGCCCGCGTCCCTCACAGCTCTGGCCTACGATCAGCCCGCCTCAGCCCTGTGCGGCCCAGCGGCATGTGGGCGGCCCAAGACGCTTCAGCGTGGCCTAGGACGTCCATAGCACACCAGACACGGCCTAGAATGCGAAAAATCATCCCAGCAAGCACCAGACCGGTCCAGCTCACACCAGGTGGCCCAGAACCGATCCAGCTGCAATTCGAGGGGTTCGGGAGTTTCGATGAGTCCGTGACAAGTCCGAGACGGCCCAACATGATTGGGGAACGATCTGTTGAGTCGAAAAAATTTAAAAAAAGGTACGCTTTGAACCCTCGTTTCTATTTCCGCTGCGCATAGGGTTTAATTCGTAGATAATCTGTGACTTGCATATTATCGTGATCCTCACAGATCCCAACATTATGAATTTATCCTCCTTATTTTATTGTGAACTCTAGTACTTGAGTTAATTGTACTGAACCTTCGAGTCATCTTTTCATAGATATGCCTTAGACACGAAAGTTGTTGACACGAATGCTCAGCAGGTTCAACCCGCGCAGGGTGATGATTGTACTCAAACTGTGGTGCAGTTTCGTAACAAGAAACCACCGACGTTTACCAGAGTCGAGGGTCCGATAGCTTTGATGGAGTGGATCCGTAATCTGGATCGGATTTTCACGGTGCTCTGATGCTCAAACATCCAATGTATCGATTGCGCCGAGTTCTCGATGGAGGGCGACGCCTCCAACTGGTGGACGGATTACTTAGTTTTGAGGCCCGAGGATGAGCGTACTGCACTCACTTGGGCGAGGATGAAGGAGATAATCACGAATAAGTATTTTCCCAAGAGTTATCGCGACCGCATAGAGCGAGAGTTTTTGGATCTCAAGCAGAGAGCTACCACTGTTGACGAGTATGCTCGGGCTTTCACTCGGTTGAGTGCCTTCACTCGGCACATGGTCGATACGGAGGAGAAGAAGGCTCGAAAGTTCCGGGGTGACCTTTGAGAAGACATCCAGATTCTAGTGGCGAGCCATGGAGACCTTCCGTACGCGGAGACTGTGATTTCAGCGCAGCAGATAGAGAGCTGCATGGCCCTTGTTGTCCCTGTCCTTTCATATCAGCATGTTGCTCAGGCTGCCCCGCCTGATACTGTTCAGCTAGCTGTGAGCAGGAGCAAGCAGAAGATTGATCGCTACCAAGACCGTCGAAGGGGAAAACGAGGTGGATCAGGACAACACAACAACCAACCCCTGGCCCAGATCGCACAACCTTTGCGTAATGTGCCAGATGGACAATCGATTTGTGGTACTTGTGGTAGAGTGCGTACAAGAGAGTGTCAGGCGACTCAGCTTAACTGCTACAATTGTCAGAGGACTGGACACTTCGCGAACATGTGTCCAGAACCGAGGAGGCGGAACCAAGAGCAACCGTAACATCAACCAGACCAACCAAGATTTGGAGGGGGAGGTCAACCTCGCGTATACATGTTGGCCCAGAATGAAGCTGAATTGAACCAAGGCTGAGCAACTGATCGAATATCTGGGAGGAGATGATTATTTGTTTTTCTTTTTTCTTAGGATTTCATTTCTCGTAAACTTTTTGCAAACTCTTGATTATTTTATGCTTGGCGTTAACTTTGTTCGGAGGCTTTGTTTACGAATAAGATTAAGCATCTTTGATTTCTGCTAGTCTTTATTTGTCTTTAAAGTTTGTGTATTTCATTCGCGTTGCCACTTAGTCAATGCGAATAGTTTAGAACGCGAATACCATCGCGACTCTGGAGGGTAATTTAACCTCGAGAAAGATGAAGGGTACATATCCAACTGTGATCGAGTTGAACGTAACTTCAGAAGGGTGCACGTGGAAGCCAACACATACCTGATCAATACGAAGGACTTAGACGCATTTCTCATAATGATTTGGCATGATAGAAACCACACGGATATCCAATCTCATGATCGTGAAGTAATGCATTGCAATGAAGGGAGTCAAGAAGATTATCCACGTTAAGGATCACGAAGAATCTTTTTAAGGTGGATAGATAATGATCGTGGAGGAACATCGTGAGGAGCTAGAAGAATAAACAATCGCCAAAAGGAGTGCCGTGGAGTAGCCAAGACGTGTTTGAGATGACCACCGGAGAATACCAACTTCAAGACAAATTCGACAATTCTATTCATAAAGAAGGAGGTTCGAGTGAAGAGGATAAGCATAAATTTCTGCAATCTGATCGACTTAAGACGAAGGATGTGCACTCTGAATATAAACTAAGTGTACTAGTTACTGGAGGTTTAGACTTGGGTCGCAACGCACTGGAAATTCTGGTTTCCATCTGCGCAATAACACGGGGAGACGTAACAGTTGATGGGAAATGAATCGTAGCTACTAGCTGCAGGTGATGCAGGCGTACTGCGTGCTGGGGCTACGCACAGGCGTGCCGCACTCGATGATGCATCTCGAGTCGTAGGAAATGTCGTGCGTAGTGTGCCGCACCTAGTGTGCCGTGTTCCATTCATGCCACAACTGCCAAGTCACTCGCGTGTAATACGTACTGATTCTGGATATTTTTGCATGTATTGCAATTATTTAGGTCTCTCTAGAAGGACTATTAAAGTTAAACGACATCAGAAGCTGTTATATAGAGTTATCACTTCACAATCGCATTAATGCAACCAAGGGAGACGAAGAGCATCATGGTTTGTTAGAAATGGTAGGTAACCGGAAGGTTCCAAGGGATGCGAGTGAGATTCGTAGTTCCTAGGGGCCAACCGGTCATTATCGAAGGTAATTTGAGCTCACTTAGGACTGACTACACGATTAGTTACCATTTTGAGAAAACTAACGTGGCGGTCAACACATGTAGTCGAAAAAGTCAAGATGAGCTAGTCTGTGTAATCACTCAGCAAGGGTTGCTGATTCGAGAGTTGCTCAGTTAGAGACCAAAGTAGTGGAGTCATCGTCTATAACTAGTGATGTCGAGCATCACTAGTCGTGAGTCGACTCTACGAAAGGAGATTGTAACCGAAGATTTAAATGATACTTCTTAAGCCGCATGCGAGGTGTTTCTCGTGTCGGCAAGATAAGAAGTTTCGTGACGACATCAGACAGAACTGTAGGTTTCAAGCAAAGCCTATGTGTTCCGAAGGTGCCTAATATGGGGAATGAGCGAGTTTAGTGATTATTTAGTTCGACTACATGGGATTCTGTGGTGGCCTGTGTGACAGGGACGCACGGATCATGTCGAGATCGTGGGCGAGTTTTCATGCGTGACCCGGGCATGAGACTGAGATTTGGCACTGCATATCAAACCCAGATAATAGTTGGACGTTTGGAGCATACTGTCGAATCACTGAGAGGCCAGTTCGGGTCTTGTGTACTTTATAGGTATGTCGTGTGATGATTCCTTACCATGGGAAGGTATGCTTATAGCGATGGATATCGAGCAATGATCCCGATGATACCGCACAAGTTGTTGGGTACGGATAGAGGTTATGTACGCCTCCTTTCTGAGCAGAGAGGAAGTTGTAGGCACATCGTTCCAGTCCTTTGAGATTCACGACAGAGTAGACGACTTAGCCTAGCGGTTGATTCCACCACCGGAGCTTCTGGGAGTGCACGACATGTTTAGTGCCTCGTGCAGAGGGGACTTGTGCGTGGCCCTGGGGCACGTGGCGAACTTTGATGAGCTTCCTGTTGGGCAGAACCCTATCTGCGTTGAGGTACGGGTGACCTGTGTGATCAGAGGGTTCATCAGGGAGAGGCCGGGATGGGTACTTGTCAAAGTCCAGCGGGGTCACTGAGGTGAGTGCAATGCGACTTGGAAGAGCAAGTATGGGTTTCGAACGGAGTCACCAAGGAAAATTCATTTAATTCAGTGATGGTTTATTTTCTTTGCGCGTGCAGTATGTGGAGTCGTGACATGTTTTCACAGTACGAAACAAAATTGTGCTGTCCATAATTAACAGATACATACATTCCGTTCCAGCTTATTATAAGGTTGGAGAAATTCCCGGAGGACCCATCTCAAATGTCGCGCGCATTTAATTTTTCCCCAACGATACAAACTTTGACCGTTTCCAATACACACTGAAAAATCTAGAATCAAGAAAAAATAGCACATGGCCACTGGATTTTTTATTTTCACCTTTTTTCCAAAAAAAGAGAAAAATTATATGGTAACGGGATTTTTTTATGTCCAACTAGTTATCCTTTATTTTAACAAGTTTTTTTTCATCCTGTTCTTGTTTTTTTAAATACTTAACTTCCATGATTCAGTACAATAGGTAAATTTGGGTTAAATTCCTCGCCCGGCCACCTTCTCTTTGTAGATGAGACCCTCTTGTTTACCTCACCAGACACAAACCAAGCCCACCTGATTCTCCAAGTTCTTACCAAATACAATTTCATCACAGGCTAAACTGTTAACCTTAAAAAATCGTCAGTATTCTTCAATAAGAACACACCACAAACCACTCAAGACCAAATTTGCCACATCCTTATGGGTATCCAAAAGCAAACCCCTTCTAAATATCTCGGATTACCACTGGGCATTTAGTTTGAAAAGCAAAGAGCGATTAATCAAGTCCGACAACGGGTTTACCAACAGGCCTTACAAGGAGCTATAGGAACTCTGAATAGTTGTTTGACCGCTGAGTTACATTTACGTACCATTAGTGTGAATATTGGCATGTTGGGATCGATGAAAGAAATAATGGATTAGTCTTTCTACTACTTGCTATTATTTACTATTTTCTATTATCTACTATAAAAAAAGGACATTATTTTTGGAAAAGAAAAAAGAATTAAGAAAAATTCATGGTA